ACAAAAAGTAAAGCAAGATTAAAACAGAACAGAGAAGGAACGTGAGGAATCTCAAGCTCTCTGGATTCAAACCCCAAATGGACGTCGCAGGCTCCGCCGGATTCCTTAGAGCTGGATGTGGCGGAGCCCACGGTGCAAGACTCCACACAGGCCAGCTTAAAGGGTTTAGATGCTTGGGGCAGTTTAAGGTTTGATGGGTCCTTGCTGGATACAATTTTAGGGTTTAGGGTTTAGGGTTTTTACATTTCTGTTATAATAAGACCCAAGCAACATTAGAAATGATCATGTTTAATATAGCCTCAACAGGGAACCAGTTTGGAGATTGGTATGCAGGGTCTTTCCAGGTTTGGGGGGTCGTAGGGTTCAGCGCGAATCTGATGCACGAGCTGTTAGGTTTAAGATTGGAGCGGGTTCGTGAATTGGTAGCTGGTGCGAGGATGGAAGTTGCAAGACGGTTTTCAAGCCATGGCTGCTGTAGCTGTTAACTTGGCAGCAGGGACATAGTGTGTGCTGTTTCATCGCCTTGAGCAGTTCAGAACTCGGTTCGGGTGTAGGCTTCTGGGTTTATATGGGTCTGCATTCTTGGTCATGGTTTTCAGACTGAATAAGGGAAGAAGCTGAAGAAGGTTTGGTACACCGGTCGTCCAGGTCCTCAGCGCTGGATGGAATGACAACGATGACTGCCTGTAAAACTCCCAGTAATTGCCTGGCACCGTGCTTCACTTTCTTTCATGCTGTTCATGCCCAGAGAGCCCAAGACCCCTTAATTAAGGAATATACCTTAAATCATAATATTAAGGCCCCTATAATTTAAGGTATATTCCTTAATTGAGGGGTATTGGGTTCTCTGGGTGACGGGAGTGCAGCCGCTGCTCCCCAATGTTTTGGCAGACAGGTTCAGGGCCTCAACCCTCAGCAAACCACCATAGGGTTTAGGGTTTAGGGTTTAGGGTCATGCATCAACTCCGCAACCGAAGCTCCTGCCCTCGGAACCCCAAACCCGAAAGCCCGAAACCTCTACAGGAAAATCCCAAAGCCCCAAAACCCGGAACCCTAAGCCCCAAGCCTTCAGACTGGAACCGAAAAGAAGCTTCGTCAGGCGCCTGCACCGCGAGTCCAGGCCACTGCTGGCGCTGTGCAGCCCCCCACCTGGAACATGCAGTCGTTTCTAATTGTGTCAACTGGCTTGATTCGGGGTTTCACGAGCATCATACATGCAAATGAGGTTTCTGCATAAACGGCACACAACACTGGTTCAAATCCAACAGGTTAACATGGAATCGATATCGATATATATATATATATATATATACATATATATATATATAGACTTGATAGATAGGTTGATAATGATAGGTAGTTGTTGTTTCTTAAAGGGGTTCCTGTTGGATGCAGCAGAACATGAGTTTGTGAGCTCCACTGGGGATAAACATCCTAGATACAGCTGTACGTATGCAAACAAAGTCTTGGAACACCTAAATGACTATGTAGGTATTATGTGTGTATATATATATATATATATGTGTGTGTATTTGTGTGTTTGTCTATATTTATTCGTTTATGCATGCCAGCAGGCATTGCTACAGAGCCCTGCATCAAAACAGACACACACACACATGTCACGTGCATTGATACAGATAGAGAGATAGATTGATGGATGGACAGATAGGTAGACAGATAGGCAGATAGACAGACAGATAGAAAGGCAAGTAGGCACGCAGGTGGCTTGCTTGCTAGCTCGCTAGCTCGCTCGCGCGCTGGCTGGCTGGCTAGCTAGCCAGCTAGCTAGGTCAGAAGGTAGGGTAGATAGGTAGGTAGGTATGAAGAAAGGCAGGCATCTTTGCACACAGGTGTGTATGCGCGTGCATGAGCTTGAAAATGCCAACGCTTACCGCATACCTCTCTCGCCCTCTCTGTCGTGCTGCGTGTCTGTTTGTGCGCGTGCACACAGCCGGCTTTAACGTGTTTGCCTGTAAACTTCAGGTACCTATGTTAACACCGAGTGCATGCACACACACACACACACACACACACACGCACACACCTCCACATGCATGCCTGCAAGCATCATACAGGCCGGCCTGCCGAACGTTTCTTCTAGTAGTCAAGCAGTCTTTCCTTTAGTTATTAGCAGGCATAGTCAGTGCCCATAGCGTGTCATGCATATATATATATATATATATACATGGTCTTTTCACGTGAAACTGAGGGCTAGATGAGTAGGGTGGAGAGGGACAGCAAGACGGCTGGGCGAACAGAAAGCGACGAAGAGGGTCCTCGTGAAAGCAGATTGGGCTGAAGATCAGGAGCGCCATGGTCATGGGGCAGCCTGGCCCTCGAGGGCATCTAGGGTGATGGGTCATATTGGTTGGCGTGGGGATCCGAAGGGTTTGAGGGCGGCGGTTTGGGATTTCGGAGGCCTGAACTTCCGTTTCAGCTCCGTCATGTTGGTTCTCCAATTCCACCTCGTTGACAAAAGGTGATGCGCTTATCGGCCAGCGTTAGTGTAGGGGGTTCGATCGTATATTTCACTCTTGGGCTGCGGGACATGTCGGCATTTGATTAGATACTTGTTTGTGGACTTCCGTTCCGCGTAAAGCTACAACCCTAAAACCCTAAAGCCCTAAACCCTAAAGCCCTACAGCCCTAAAACCCTGAAGCCCTAAAGCCCTAAACCCTAAAGCCCTACAACCCCAAACCCTAAAACCCTAAAGCCCTAAACCCTAAGTTTTGGGCTTTCAGGGTGGCCCCGGAGCCTTCCGGTGCAGACGTCCTCCGGCAGACGGGAGCGAATTTATCTCTATTATCCCTTAAATACCCACTATTAAGGACCATAAGGCGTCTATTAAAGGGCTATTGGGGGGTCCTGGAAGGGAGTCTCTTGGATAATCTTACATACAAGCGTTGACACGCACGAACACGGTGCCTTTCAGGGAGAAAAGCCAGATGGCACCCCCCATCCTTGTTTTGAAAGAGCCACGGTTTAGGGTTTAGGGGTTTAGGGTTTAGGGGTTTAGGGTTTAGGGTAAGTTTGGTGCTCCCTACGTTGTTGCAAAAGGCGGAAGCTACGACCTCAAGCCTCAGCCTCAATCCAGATCTCGAGGCTTTACACCCCGAAGACACTCAATCCAATCTGCAACCCTAAACCCTAAACCCTAAACCCTACTTTGGGGAATCCGGGCCTGAATTGCATTGCCAGCTTGATGCCGCCTTCTGCACGCATTATTGCAGCTGAGCAGGGAAGCTTTGATATCGTCTGGGTTTGCGCAGGCATATCATTAGTGTATGAGAAGCTGTATACAAGCTAAGCTTGGCAGGTCCAAGAGTAAGCGAACTCAGAAGATAGGCCCCCTCCAAAGTCTATGTCTATGTGCTGAAATGCTGCCCGGGAACTCCGGGTGAATCTTCTGTCTGGTGCTTAGTAGGGAATGGGGGAATGGATCCCTATGATAGTCCCTTAAGGTCCCTTATATTAGTCCCTATAACCCATTCCCCCATCCCTACTAAGCACCAGACAGTCTTGGCAGGTCAGTTCTGCTTCAGAACCGTCTCATGTATCAGCTGCTTTGAGGCGCTTGAACGAAGCAGTGGCCGTGTATCCCAGGCGCTTAGGAGTTCGCGTAGTACGTAAAGTGGGTTTGGGTTTAGGGTTTAGGGTTTAGGGGTTTAGGGGTTCCTCAGCTTATTTCCTGAGTTTGTGTCATAAACGGCTTCACGCATACACGGCCGCGGAGTAGGAGAATCCAGAGGTCGAAGGACCGCGCTTGGTGCTGCCAAAACGACAGCCAACCACAACAGGAAAAAAGTATTTTATTTGCATGCTAGTGTGCAGTGGCTGATCCCTGATTCACCTACAGACAACCCTAAACCCTAAACCCTAAACTAATGCAACACATTCCAGACCATGGCTTTCAGAAGATCAGCCTGTCCAGAGAATGCAGATGCAAGGCGAATCACAATGCGACGCTCGTGTCGAAAAGAGGGTGCCTCGCTCCGAGCATGCGCGAAGCGCGAAGCGAGTCACCCAGAGAACCCAATACCCCTTAATTAAGGAATATACCTTAAATCATAGGGGCCCTAATATTATGATTTAAGGTATATTCCTTAATTAAAGGGTATTGGGTTCTCTGGGCATGAGCCAGCAGTATGCAAGGCTTTGAGACAATTGGAGGTCCCTTGCTAGGGGGCCCCGCCAGACGTGTTGATTATAATATATCAGGGTCCCATGTGTCTCTTTCCCGGCCGACTTCCCAATGTTGAGCTGGCATGAAGTCTCCATTACATGTTACTGCGTTAGATATGGGGGGTTAAGCCATTCAGCAGGTTTTGCAGGTAGGACCTGCCCAGAGCAGCGCAACATCCTGCATCAGTCAGTGAATGGTATGCCAGGTTGTCGGCCGTGTGTGTCCCCTGTACCTGATAAGTCCACTGCAGTGGGCTTGTCAGAACAGTCAGAACAGCAGGGTGGACGGTTTAGGAATTGGTCTGAGCGCTTTGTTGGCCCTGAGCCCTATCCCCAGTGAGGGTGTAGTAAGCCCTCGAACTCCACAAACTACCTTGCAAACTCCTAAGCTGTCATTCTTTTCTCGAGTCTACAACTTCTCTATTTGTCATTTTATGTCCGTTTGGCTGAACATGCGGCGTTACATGAGCCAGTCCCAGAACTTGCGCATGAACGCAATCCAGGTTCGAAATTTTCTGAGTAAGAGTAGATACCACGGTTCCTTGAAGGGCATAGTCTTGATTAAACAGCTTTTGAGCGACAGCACAGAGCGAGACCCCAACCAGACACGGCTTCTGCCAGCTCGGCCAGTGAAAGCCCTGAATCTACTGAGTTCAGGGTTTGAGGGCATTTCAGGGTCTCCGATTTCAGGCATTTAGAGTCAGCTTGCGAGAAGACGTACGATCCTACTACTATCATCATCATCATCATCATCATACCAAGATTCGGCCTGAGCTGCGTCAACGGCTAGGGATAGATACTTTGGCAACTCCACGCCATGCAAGCTGCCGGCTTCGTCGCTGTCTTGGCCTCTGCATCTTGGTGGACAAACCGTTAGAAACTGTAGCGTGTGGCAGGACACACTACAGCATCACATACCGTACCAAAGCGCTCGACTCGATTCAACAAAGAAGGCACCAAATATCAGCAATGGCGCACTGAAGTTGTCATAAACTCTGAAAAAGACCTCCGCAGGTCTAGATGTTACAGGCATGTTCAATGCCTATATCACTTCGCTGCACGAAGCACATTGAGGAATTGGGGTCGTGGCTTGATTAGGCAGACCCGAATTTTGGAAACATAGTTCGGTAAGATGACCGATGCTCATGCCAGCTTGTGGTCAGGAGCCTGAATGCTACTACCGTATCTGAGCCTCATAGCTGCTGTTACAGTCGTCCCACCCGGTCAATTCTGACAAGCCGCCTTCGACATTACAGTGACTATGGAATTGCCATTCCCTAACCCCCAGGTACCTACTATATAGGGTACTAGAGCTAGGTACCTGGAGGGTTAGGGATTCTTAGCACCTCACGACATGTAGTGCGTGCACACCAAACCCAAGGCGCTGCTCTACGGCAGCCTGGCTCTGAATAGTTGGAGCGACCCGGAAATTATGTGAAGCAACGGCTGGTCATGTGACGGATTCCTGTGCAGCTCGGGCCCAGGGTTAGGGGTTTAGGGATTTAGGGTTTAGTGCTTAGGGTTTAGGGATTTGAGCAGACTTGCTGCAATGCTAGGATGATGTTTCCAGGTTGGTGGCCAGCGGCTAAACTTGCATGACTGTGCTGTAGTAGCACCAGCAGCCATACCGGTGACACCCTGGAAGGTTCATACTTTGTGCCTGTCCCGGGCTCAGTAGACTGATTGCTCAGTTCCGCTCGCGGTGGCTCTGTGCAGGCAATGGGTATGTTTGCCTGCTTGGCTAAAGGACCCGGAAGTAGAGACAGCATGAGAGCACACAGAAGATCCCAGCTGCAAAGCACAAGGCTTCAAAGACTCCGCGGATGACCCCTGGCAGAGCAAAGCAGCAGCAAACCCTAGCCCCCCAGATACCTACTATATAGGGTACTAGAGCCCCTATAGAGCCCTATATAGTAGGTACCTGGAGGGTTAGGGAAAAGCAGCAACAAAGAGGAACCAACCGAAGGCCACCCATCTGGGCTCCAGACAGCTACCCTGTTCGAGCGCCGGTTCCACCAAGTTGAACTGCAGAGGCTAAAAAGTATGACATCCGTGACGGCCTCGTCTTCCAATGGTACCAGTGGCTTGGAAGACAATTTCAAGCTCAGTTGATCACACCATGCACACCATGCAATACAAAACGGTCCAAAGGGGTAAGCAGCAGCTGTTGTCCAGAGACTGAATTCCCAGGTGCAGCGGCATCATGTGCTGGCCTCAGCGCCCGGGTGTCGGATAAGCATGCTGTGCATGCCATGTGATGGCGACCCGGCACAAATGCCCAAAGCCGTTCTCGCTCTCCACGCGTAGTTCTGCGGATCTACTTTCTAATATACTTTATAATCCAGAAATCCTAAACCCTAAACCCTAGTCATAGTGGGGATCTTGTCACAGTTTCAGGGATACTGTCCAGGGCTAGGCTTCGGGGTTCCAGGTTCAGAGGAAGCTCGTGCAGAAAAGTCGGCATCTGTACGAAACTTCGGTAAGGTAAAATATGACAGGCTTCGGCAACACCATTTCTACAAGAAAAGGCCTGTTTGCAATGGTGAAGCTAACAGGTCGGAACATGAAGGTGAGCTCAGCAGCAGGATGCCGAAACCCCATAAGCGATTTAGGAATCCGTTTCGATTACGGAAATACATGAATTAAGGCCTTTGTCTTCTAGAGGGACCCTGCATCTTCATGAGAGAAATTCGGCAACTAACGACAACGAGCACCATGCGCTCTGGAAGGAAGCAACCCATGGCAATCAGGACCTCAGTGTCCTGCTAGCGACAAAAACCCTGTGACAGGTGCATCCATGCACAACAGTTTCTGGTCTCGGCTTTCTACCTGTGCACACTCAAAGCAACAATATCAGATAGGTTTATCGTTCCAAAGATCATGTGAGTGTGTGCGTGTCTCCTTTTGCTAAGCATCTCCTCACCAAATTGAGAGCAGAACTTGTTATATGTTTAGGGATATATATAAACCCTAAACCCTAAACCCTAAACCCTAAACCCTAAACCCTAAACCCTATATATATAATCAGATCTATAGAATATTGCTTACAAGGCCTAAAGGGTTCGGGTTTAGGGCCGGGTTTCCTTTATCTTCGAGCTTCTGAGGCTCGCCGGCCTAGTATGTGCTGCTGTGCGGAACGCCGCTCCGATGAGTTTGGAGTTTAGGGTTTAGGGCTTTTAGGGCTTTTAGGATTTGGGGTTTAGGGTTTAGGGGTCTAGGGGTTTAGGGTTTAGGGTTTAGGGGTTTAGGGTTTAGGGTTACATAGTGACTCGTTGTGGCTCCTACTCTTAGGTCCTTTTGCTAGGCTGGGTTCAGGACTTCTGGGGCTTGTGAGGCATGGGGCTTGGAGTGTTGCAGCCTCCCCGGATCCAATCAAGTTGTCTTCATGATTCAGCACAGCTTCTGAAGCCCTCAAATGTGGCCGTGTGGCATCATGTTTTGGGGTATTATGATCCCAATAAATCCTAAACCCGTTCAACCTCGACGGCATGCATCCACGTAGAGTAGAGCTCTCGAGTCTTGCCAGGTCTGGTCTGACGACTTCCGAAGCTCGAAGCCCGGATTCTTCCCAGGGTTGGGATAGCTCGTGAGGTCACCCGCCCCTGCTGCAAGGAGAGGCTTTGGGATTTCAAGATCGATTCCGGAATTATGGCTCCAAGGATCGTTTCACCTCCGTCCAGGCTTGAGGCTTCAGAACAACACGAAAACAAGGACAGTGCAGCCTGCGACCACTAGTTCTATCCTAGCATCTGCTAGTTAGTGCTACTGCTTTCGACGACGGCGAATGGTATTCTTCGCTAGCCTTCCTCCCTAACGATGACGGGTTGTGAACATGCAGACTCTCGACCAGACATGCGACCGGAGGCTCTGGCTTCTACGTCGCTCCGGAGGGCCTCATCTCAGGCTTCCTTTTTGTGCTTCTTGGCTCTGTGCTTCAGGAGTTTGAATTTGAGGGGGGTTTAGGATTTGGGGTGTGGCGAATGAGGTCTTCAGGGGTCCACGCAGAGCTGCATGATCTCTTACAGCGTGTGGTGATTCATGCATATACTAGCTATACATATATATATATACACACATATTAGAGTACCAGTATACTGGTACAGTTGATGAACAGTACTAGAAGCCATGTGCGGAGCGGGCATTGGTGCAAGCCCACGAGCAGAGCTCCTGTTCGCAAAACACGTAAAAGCAGCATCCTCCTGGTGACTTGAAGGCATTCCGACACTTTTGCAGCCAAGGATCGGCAACATTGTCGCCACGTTTTCGGTGAAGGCGCCTTCTGGATACAACTCGACCAGAAACTGTGGCCAATTCTAATTAGCGGTGACGTGAGGGAGGAAGATCTTGCAGCCTTCCTTTCGCTTCCCAAAAAGACCCAGCAGTTCCCTTGAGGCGTGTGGACTTGGGAACTACTACACCGCCTGGGCCCAGTTCTCGCTGCAAAGTGGATTCGAAGCTTGCGCAAGCCACCGGCAGAATGTAGGAATGAGGCAGGTACTGCCCGTCAGACCAGCTACACCGCAAGCTTGGGTTACTCATCCCAAAACTAGAGAGCTGAAGCGTCTTTGTCTTCCAGTGGCATGAAAACCTCAGGTCCACGAGTTCACGAATCTGGGCATTACTTTCGTGATCGGCGCGCCCAAGCCGAATTGGATTTTCGGGCAGTTCCATGCCGATGCCGCAGGGCATAGGCCGAATGAAATTTCTCTGAGCCTGTCGACGAAGCAGTGAAGCAGCGACAACTGGACAGAAACCATAGTGGCACATTGCAGTGTCAAGACGGTTTTGCTCATCGTACTCCGCCCGTGCTCCACAGCTTTCCGTTTCGTCTGGCTTCCACACGGGTCCTTCACCGTGTGATTGCTGATTCTCAGGTCTATGGGAAGTGCATGGGAGCTGAGAGCTCAGTTTTCCAGTGACCCTCTTTGCAGCTCTAAGTATGCGTGTGTGGTCCTTCGGCTTCAACCAGCCCAGAGAGCATCCATGTGCCAGAGAAGGGGTTGGAAACTTCGGGTCAAGATTCGCTGAAGGCATATCTGGGGTCATGCAATGAAAGGAAAACAGTTCTAAATTCTAAGCGGTACCTATAGCTTTCCGACTCAATCTCCCAAGCATCTTCTTGTGATTCTGGATTCCTTCCGTGAAAAAACCCAACCACGGCCCTCTTCTGCGGAGACTCCGAGACTGGCTGCTAGCAGCTGAACAAAGGAATCTACGTCGTAATTCCACAAAGAAGGGATTAGGGTTTAGGGGTTTAGGGCTTAGGGTTTAGAGGATATTCCTTCTGTTATGGCTTTGTTGTTGTCCAGCTTCGCCACGCCCCGCAAGCAAGCTCCCATGTCCCCAACGCCACCCCTCGCAACCCGGCTCCTGCTGTTTCTGCGGTCGTTGTTGGAGGGTGGAGCTGGGAACCACAAATAAACGCAGACCCAACCCTAAGATCCTGAGGTCAATGCAACTCCGCCCCGAGAGGCAGTGGATCAGAGCACTTTCGAGGGTTCTTGGTTAAGGTTAGTTGTAAGTGGATTTAGAAGATGGCTACAGGTTGAGGGCCTTTGGAGACTCAAGGCCTAGATGAAGAATCGGATCTTGTTAGGGTTTAGGGTTTAGGGTCGACCAGCTGATTGGCATAGTCTGGGTTCAAGGGTCGACGAGGTTTGTAAGACGGCTATAGCCATAGTTAACTTACCACCCCTCCAACCTCCTCACTTGTGATCCTTCATATAACTACTACCCACGAGCTTGTGAAATAATGTAGGGGCCTCAATAATTACCTACAATATTTTGGGGGTTCCTTATTATAGTTATAGTACAACGGGACCCAAAACCCTATTCTAATTATTAAGGCGCCTAAATCCTAAACCCCAAACCCTAACCCCTAAACCCTAAACCCCAAACCCTAAACCCTAAACCCTGAACCCTAAACCCTAAACCCTAAGCAGCTCTTGGTGATCGATCCTCGGAGCTCCTTGAGAAGGTTGGCGTCGCGGCCATCGGCTTTCTCTTCGTTCTCATCGGTATGATGCCGGCCCGCAAGCCCAGGTTCCTTTAAAGGGTTTCTATAAGGGATACTATAAGGCCTTAGGGTCCAGGGGCCTTAATAATTAGAATAGGGTTTTATAGCATACTATATTCTAGTTATAACAAGGAACCCCCAAAACCTTCTTCTAATGATTAAGGCCCCTACAGTAGAGCCAGTGTTTTGCAGGGTTTACGCCGGGCTCAGGCTTTTAGAGTTTTTGGGCGGGTTGTAGGACTCAGGAGTTTTGGCGCTGTCGAGCGTCAGCGTTATAGCAGTCAGTGTAGGACTCTTGCGGGTTGGATGGCTTAGGGTTTCGAGTTTGGTGTTTCAGGCTTAAAAACTTGAAAATATGATTGTTCGCAGACCTTCGGTACACGAGTGGCGCAGCGCGCGTCTCCGCATCCTTCTAGCTGTTGCTCTTGTTTGCTGATGCTGGTGCTCTTGGTTTGCTTTCCGCGAGTGCGTGGGCGCTCAAGTTCTCACGTGGCTTCAGAGTCGGACAGCTGAGCCGTGATCCCAGGTGATGTTCATGGAGAAGGACTCGGAGCGCAAGCGTGGGGTTCGGGTTTCGGGATTTATGGGTCGGCAGCTCAGAGAACCCTCCGGCCCTAGCTTGACTCTTGGTGGCCGCCTGATAGCCAAACCATCCGATGGATCTATCCGAATCTATCTAACCCACTCAGAGCTGGAGGGAGAAGCATGATGTAAGATGTGACCACGCAGCATATTGCACATCGCTCTCTTTGTCGCCAGCGCTCTCTCTCGATCTCTCGCTTCATTGCGTTCAGCTTGACTTTCCAGGAGGGTGCATGATGAGTTGAACTTAAGCTGCTCAGTGCTTGCTGCATGACAGTGCGAGGACGTGCCCAGTATCCCATCACGGAGGCCATCGCCAAAGTCAGCTGTGGACAAGACAGAGCTTCCTGGCCGGATTCAGCTCGTTACGATCGAACCTCTGCATCAGAGGCTTTACCTGCAAGGACTAATCCTCTTCTCTCTTCATCCCAGTGAAACTCTGGCACTCTGTGAAGGGAATTTCGCACTTTGCTTCGATCGTCACGCTGAGTCTGAGGCTGCAATCCCACCCAACACCTTCCCCCTCGTGCCGGGCTTACTGACATGAATGGGTCCGTTGCTTGTGCAAGCAGGTCGCGCGCGAGTTGTTTTTTCAGCTGCTGGTCATTATATTACTTTTCGAGCGATGCTTATGGCTTGGAGAGACGGCTTTGCAGCCGGGAAACCTGGTAACGCAAGACATGCATGCACGTAGAGTCATTCCAGCAGCCTAACCTCAAACTGACAGATCTATAGTGGCATTATGTGATATATCTTTTACACAAGCACAGAGACAGAGACACGCAGACACTTAGCCTCAAATTTGAAGCCTCGAAGCACAGCCATGACAGGAAGCCGTCAGACTAAACATCCAAGTCGCGTCAAATTGCGTAAGTGCTGGGATGTCGCCGGCCACGCGACTGCGGGAGCTTTTGGCAGAGGACGGGGATGCACGAAGGACAAAACAATAACAAGGAGAACTGACGGGAGCATAGTTAACAACAGTTTTGTTGTGAGGATAGCTTCACGTAACGAGGCCAGAGGCCCAGAACTTCCTCTTCCATCATTTTCCCTTTTCCAGGGCCTCTTTTTTGAACATAGTCAGTGCCCCTGTTTGCCCGAATCTGCCCAGGTGCTGTAGTCTCAAAATGTCAAACGTCTCATGGGAGCACTTTTCCAAAAATATGGAGCTATGCAGCTTTGCAGGGTATGGAGCTCCTGAAAACTCTGCAAGGTCTAACCTTTGTCCAACAAGTGCCAACCCCTTGTCCTTCATCTCGGTCCTCTTGGCCATAATATACTTCCTCAGTAGGCACGCCGTGACGGCCGTTGCGAGCTGATTCCAGCCTGCCACGATGCGCTTTCGGCTGACACTCGTCGAGAAGAAGCAGTACAAGCATGAAGTCAATCGAGACGACTGCTAGGAGTGTTGCTCTGTTGTCTCTCGAGACCCACATCTGTGGGTTTGCTTGTGTTGCCCTAACCCCCCAAGTACCTACTATATAGGGCTCGGGGCTCTAGTACCCTATATAGTAGGTACCTGGGGGGTTAGGGTTGATTAAGCCTGTAGAGGCAGGTCCTCTTCAGCAAGCTGGCGTGTAGATTTAGATCCTCGTGTGACGCAAGTCCTGAGCCCTCGAAAAGCTTTGTTGCATCTTCTGCCTGTTTTTTAAGTTCAAACTGTACCTTGAAGTTGAAGCTTCCAGCGACCTCGCGGACCCTTACACCACTCTAATCGGAACGGATTTATCCAAGATCCTGTTTAGGTGCTGATCCAACGAGCTGGATTTCCGATATGTTTCATGAGCGGCTTTGCTGTCAGCGCGACTCAGCTTGCTTGTGCCTGGGCCATTTATGCCACACGACGGTTGCTCAGCTCTTCAAAGTTGTTGTTTCTATTCTCCCGGCTTCGTATAGGGCATCTTCTGTCTGCGGTTTTCGCACCAGGGCTTTCATCACGGCCTCAACTGGCTGCTACGATGTTCGTATTGCTGAACTGGCCGCAGACTTGTGCTGAACGAATGGCTTTTGGCAGTTCCCACAAAAAGAAGAGCCTAGGCCCGAGTGTGTACCGGAAATAGCCGTGTTTCAACGACCCGTAACTAAGGCGCCCCCTATTGCAAGAAAGCCCCTACTTGACCAGCTCAGATCCGGATGTTGGCCTCATTTCCTACGCCGAGCAGGCTCGGAGTGTTCCAGGCTTTGGGGCTGGGGGTTTGTGGTTCAGGGGTGTGTAATTTCAGCTCGACTTCACATCTCGAAAACTTTGTGTGTTTGCGTTTACTTCTCCATGTCAAAGGGAGCTACCACCAAGGCTTTTTTGTGTGCTAGGGTTTTGTGTCGATCGTATAGAACACACTTGGCACTTACATCCATCTATGTGTGCTTACATGTCAGCATACTAGTCTAGACCATTTAATGCTCCGCATCTCCCTGAGCAGTAGCAAACTTGTCTGCGTTTACTAACTATCTGTTCACCTACCTACCTAAGCGATCAGTCGATCAATCTTCTCGTTCTATTTATCTTCTCTCTACCTGTCCATCTATCTACCTATCCATCTATCTATGTATCTATCGGTCGATCCATCTATCGACCTATCTATCTATCGATCGATCTATCTATCTACCTCTCCCTCCCCTGCCTCCGCCATCCTCTTGTGTTAGTTGTGTTACTACTATTGGTTTGTTTTTGCTCTCTCACTGACAAAAGACATATGAGTAGCTCTCTGAATTCTGGTCCCTTTTAGGATCCTGTTTACTATAGTTGGGACCTAAAGAAGGGACCCTAATTTAGAAAACTACCCATAGACACACGGGGGTTTCCGAAAATAGGGGACCCTAATATAGCACCCTAAATAGTAGGATCCTTAGTATAAGGACCCCAAAATAAGGTACCCTAATTTTCGGAAACTCCCACACATCCTCAGCAGGCGAAGGTCGGCTCCAACATTTGTGCGGCCGTTGGCTCCAGCATGAAGCCTGGCTTGAGCTCACCCTAACCCCCCAGGTACCTACTATATAGGGTACTAGAGCCCCGAGGGCCCTATATAGTAGGTACTTGGGGGGTTAGGGTTTGGGTTGATGATTGCAGGATTTAGGGTTCTGGGATTCCGGACTTGTGGACTTGACAACCTGGCGTTTCGCCCTTATTTGGGAGGTGTCGAGTTTGAACTGAGGGTGGGCCCAGGATTAGGGTTAAGCGTCCTTGCAGCCATCGGATGCCTTAGAGGGGATGGCTTGTTTGCCTGGGCAGTGGCCCATAAAGCGGGCGGTTTGCAGCGGGAATCGCACTTTTCGGCTTTGTCCGTGGATCGCAATTTCCATCTTTCCGATGCAGACCCCCACCATGTGCTGGTAAAAGGGTTGCTGAAAGCTGGATAGCAGTGGCTGTGGGAAAATCCCTCCGATTCCTCTTAAGTGTTAAGGTTCATGTTGCAAAGGCTCCCTAGATTGGACGCGCTCTGGATCTCTTAGGGTTTGCAGGTGTGGGGAGTAGGGAGCACAGGTGTGTGATCGGCGATGGCGATACCGGATTTGGCGGCAGCGGCAACGTTCGGCGAACCATTCGGGGGTACGCAGCAGCAGGTTGGAATCCGTGACCAAGGTCAGTTTCGCAGAGTCGACTCACGTTGTCTAATTTCTAGTGGGTTCTAGCGCAGTGAACCAGATGCCAGGATGTGATCTCGTGCCATTGCATGTAACATGAGGCCTAGATCAGCCCCAACCCTAGAGTCCTAGAGCCCACTCGACCGACGACCCTGGGTCCTGAACTTCCCAGAGAGCCCAATACCCTTTAATTAAGGAATGTACCTTAAATCATAATATTAAGGCCCCTATAATTTAAGGTATATTCCTTATTTAAGGGGTATACCTTAATCTATAGGACCCTAAACCCTAAACCCTAAACCCCAAGGTATATTCCTTATTTAAGGGGTATTGGGCCCTAAACCCTAAACCCTAAACCCTATATTCCCTATTTAAGGGGTGTTGGGCTCTCTGGGTCTCGAACTTGGCCTTGATGCCAGGCTTCGCAGGCATCACCATCGAGGACCAATGCTACCCAAAGCGATGCGCCCATGCGAAGGTCTGGGTTTAGGGTCTAGGGTTCCTGGGTAGTATTAGGGAGACCCCTTAAAGGGGACCCTTCTGAACCCTACTTCTGGCTCCCTTGTAAGGGACCTTATTGAGAGGGTCCATATCCCCAAGGGTCCCCGATTTAATCCTAAACCCTAAACCCTAAACCGTAAACCTAACTCCCAAGGGTTCAAAACGGGATTCGTGGATTCCGTCCGGTTGAGATAAGGCCTGGTCCCGCACTATAACGAACTACTTGGAGGATCATGGGACTTAGTAAGTCGGGTTATAACAAAAGTAAGTAGGGTTTAGGGTTTAGGGTTTAGGGTTTGGGGTACTTAAAGGATCATGGGACTTACTAAGTAGGGTTATAACAAAAGTACCTATACCCATAACCCCAATTAGGGGACCTATAGCCATGCTTCCCAAGTCCCATGATCCTCCAAGTAGCTCCAGCGCACGCGAGTGCATCACAGGTCCCAGAAGAGGTTTGGCACAAAGCAACGACGCGGCATCCTTGAGACCCTAAGAGCCCCAGGCCCTCCGAGGCCAAAGCCTTGTAAGCCCCAAAAGGCTTTGAACCAAAAACTAGATGAAAGCCTTGGGAAGCAAACAAATATGAACGCCTTCTAGTCTTTTTGTAGCACCTAGGGTACTCCTTATAACAGCATTCCAAACTCGTAAAATCCCCCTGAGATGCTTGTTGTAAACCTCACTTCGCCTGGGAGGGCCTGGCTGTCGTCGAGCGGGAAGAGGCTTGCACTATATATAGGGGCCTTAAAAACTAGAATAGGGTTTTGGGGCCCATTATCCTGCGAATATAATAAGGAACCCCCCCAAAAAAGGATAGGTAATTATGTACGCTTCCGGAAGAGCTCATGAAGTCCGCTGCATACCTCGCATTCAGGGGTTAGGGTTCTACACCAATTCCCGTTTCTTTCAGGGGTAGACGGTCTCTTCGGCATGCCCGAACGTGTATTTGTGTATGTGCACGTTCCAACTCTGCACCGTTGTCATACCTTTGACCGGATTCCATTTCAGACAGGTTTTTAGTACCTCCGTAGTTCTCTAAAAAGTTATTTTCCTCTGCCCCGCCGACCCAAATCCCTAAGCATCACTAACGCTCGATGATACCTAACACCCCAACATCCCCTTGCCCAAAGCCCTGTGCTAGCTTAGACTCCAAACCTGCAAAAAAATACGGTTTCTGCCCAACTAACATGCGCCTTTAGGTCTCTGGAATCGAACCCTAACCCTCCAGGTACCTATTATATAGGGCCCTAGGGGCTCTAGTACCCTATATAGCAGGTACCCGGGGGGTTATAGCCCTGTGCAGGCGTGCCAGCGCCTCGCTGCGGCGCTCGCAGCGCGCGAGGAGCTTCGACAAGAAGGCCTGGGGTTTTCGGGGGCGAGTTCAAGTCATACGGACATAGAAGCAGAAGTATAGGGTTTAGGGTTTAGGGTTTAGGGTTTAGGGTTTAGGGTAGTATCATGAGACAACAGGAACCAAGGTAATTAGCAATCATGGTATCACGAGTCGTTGCAAACACGACAGTACTACACAATACATCAAGAGTATCAGCGACAGGAAGACGATCAATGGCATCTATTGGTAGCATTTGGCAGCAGGTTTGTGTAACAATCATCGCGAAGCTAGTGAAGCGCCATCCTCCCCACACTAACCAAACAAACGTACCCTGTGAGCCTATGGGTCACAACAGTCGATGTTGGAAGGTAGCATTCGCAGCACAGCAGGCAAGGACAGCCTAAAAAGCCATTTCATTCAGTATCCTAGCGTTTTGGGCTAAGGTCCGGTCACCTATCTTATGGAACTGCAAAAGGCCATCCACAGCTGAGGCCAAGATCTGGTGATCATTGGAAGGACTGGTGGAAGTCGGTGTGCGATGTACAGCTCGCATCGAAGGTTGATTGTAGTTAATGTTTGCGGTTTGCGGGGCTCTGGGTTTGGGCTTCAATACATGGTGTATAGTAGGACTGTAGGTTTAGGGTACGGAGTGTAGGGCTTGTAGGGCTTACAGTTTCAAGTTTTGTTGTGTTCAGGTTTCGCGTTCGGGCAATCTGGCACTAATGCATCCAGTGCTGTAAAGTTCCAAGTATCCAATGAGCCAGAAACTGGCCGCATGAGCTACATGAACATTACTGCTACCACATACTCTCCCTACTTACGTCTACAGACCTACACTACTACTACTACTACTACTACTACTACTACTACTACTCCTCCTGCTGCTACGACGACTACTACTACTACTACTACTACTACTACTTAAACCCGAGTACCTGGTAGGATACTTTTGACCTTCTGGGGTGCCTTCTTCAGCGCCATGTGCCCAATGCAATCAAGATTGCCTACTATAGGGGCCTAAATAATTACCTATTTTATTTTGGGGGTTCCTTTTTATTTCTATTATAGTATAATGGGGCCCCCTGAGCCGACTTCCCCTTTAAATTGATACTCATCCAAAGAATTTCAATTAGTTCAGAATAGGAATCTCCCTTCGCGGCAATTGCACGAAATCCCGCGTATCATCCGACAGGCAAACTGCCTCTGTTTGAGCTACCGGACCCCTAAAGAACTAAAACGTAAACGCTGAAGCCCAAGTCTTAAGCTCTGAACCCCTAAACAAAAAGCTCGAGGACCGATTGCCGCCATGCTTCCTCCAATGGTGGCTTTGAGGAAGCGCTCGCAAGGCGGCAGCCACACCGACTGAAAGGAATTCTGGAAGCCGCAACTAAAGCTAACAGTAATGCTCAGCAATAATATCAGCTACTATTTCTACGGCAGAAACGGTAACTGCACTAAGGGCATTAATGCCCGTAGCAATATTATAATAACGAGAGGAATAGAAGTTCGCAGTCGTCATAGTGATGATCATCGTTCATAATACTGCCCCCAAGGACCACACTGGAAGCCTCACTACATACGGTCCCTATAAACATGCGAACTGAGGCATAAACTTGTTGAAGCAGTTTTGGTCCACAAATCACGATCTAGGGCTTGGGGCTTTCGGGCTCAGCTGGATTGGAAACGCTTTCTTGGCTGCTGCAACATGTAAGCGCTTTTCAACCGTCATGCCTGGTACATAGCATTTGTTCGGAGATGAGGTGTCGAGTTTTTGCGGATCTCGGCGCAGACGTCGTGGCTGGGCTCGCAGGTTCAGGCTCTTAACCTTCTGGATCAGCCATACTTCTACGAAAGCTTGTGGTAGCAGTCGTTCGCAATAGCGACTGTGGATAATGGCTCGCAGCTGTAGTGCTTGGTCGTCGCGTCGCAACTGTCCATTCGTGTACACTTCTTCGGCTGCTGCTGCAGGTGTATGCTGAGGGCTTGTCCGACAAAGCTGAGATGCTGAGACTGAACTCCGAGTTGAGGGTGCCGACCATGCTTGCGCAGGTGCCTTACACAGGATCTCTTGGCAGTAGTGCGAAGGTTTTGACAGCATCTTCTAATCCTAGGGTTTAGGACTCTACTGGGAAGCTTTCGCTATCCAGTGAGTCGCACGTTGCACCCGCCTTGCTCCCCCGAGACATATTCACCACGTTGCGGTAGAGAGTGCCAGGAATCCTGCGTAGCGGTGGTAAAGGCCACGAAACCTTCGGCTGGAACCTCCCTCCCCTGACATCCAAGAAACTGCGAATCAGGTGGAAAAGCCGGATGTCCAGCTCGTCGGTGTGTCTTGTGCCGCATGAAGATAAGACAACCGAGAGCGCCTAATATTTTGTGCACTATACTGGTTCACTATACTGAGACCAGTATCGCCTATCAAGCCCATTACAACCCGACAACGCAGGACTCAATCCAAAGCCTTGCTTCGGGTTTGAGGTTTCAGCCGTCACTACTTGGGGTTTGTGAGATGGGTAGCGGGGAAGTACACGGTATGTCTTCTCGCAGTCACCAAGCGCCAGTTGCAGCAATGCCGCCACGACTTACCCCAATCCGAACGAGCCACCAACTGAAACATCACACCTGCAGAGCCGAAGCTTTCGGCTTAAAACTTTACCCAGGTGAAGGAAGCAGGACAGCTTGGCTTTGCTTTGAGCCTAATGGGCCTGACCGTGCTCAACGTTGCGATGTGTGTGCTGAGGCTGCACTTTACAAGCGCAGGTTTCCGTAGGCCGGGCCGTTTTGTTCTTGACCCTGTCATTACTCGGAAAGTTCCATGTGACTCGAAAGTGCGTTATACTGATTCTATTCTATTCTACTTGGTTATATGGTCTTTTAATAATATACTGAATTATAATGTACCCTATTGCACTGTATCAACCGACATTATGTTATATGACCCGGTCTTTCCTTACATTTAATCTTAATCTGCATGTCTTCCTTTTATTTCTATCCTATTTCACCTTGTCTTGTCTCATGTTACTTCATATTGTGATATATGCTTTACCATTGACGATACATGACTGACAGACAGACAGGTAGGTAGGTAGGTAGGTAGGTAGGTAGGTAGGTGGGTAGGTAGGTAGGCAGGTTAGGTCGGTCGGTCGGCAGGCAGGCAGGCAGGCAGGCAGGGAGTAGCTAGGTAAGTAAGTAAGAAGGTAGGTATATACATATATAGTACGATTGCGATTCTTGTTATCATCCTCATCATTATAATGCATAAACAAGTAACACCATATGGACCATATCTTATGTTACATATTATGGTCCCAATACAACCTCTCAAGCCGTTCAGGGCCCTGTGGAGACTGACGACACCGTAAACGAGTGTGTAACGCTACACAAACAGCCCCAGAGACGGAGAAGATGGTGCCAAGCCCGTCGACGTACCCAAGGAGTGATCAACCATGCAAAGGTATTACATAGTAAACGGCAGTTTGGGTAGTTACCGTTATAGGAGCCTTATAGAAGGTCTATATACCTTACAGAAGCCTTATAGAAGCCCTATATACCCTAAACTCCCCACCTGTAGGTTCCTTTATCAGCCGAGGCCATGAAGAGATGCCTGCGGGAGATGAGGGAAGGGCGACACCCCGAGGCCCTGGGAGCTCAGGTGCTTCGACCCTAAACCCTAAAACGTAGGGGTACCTCATTTTGGGAGTCCTTGTAAGAAGGATCGCAGTATTTCGGGTTCGATATTGGGGTCAGGTCTTTTCGGAAACCCCCATATAGGGCTTGCAAATCCTAAAAGTCTAAACCCTTAGGGACTCTTGGCAAAGAACGCATCACCGGTACAGGGGGTCTGATGTTTTCAGTTTGGGGCTTTACGGTGCAGAGCTTACGTACGGCTTGGGTGTACATTTCAATGCTTCAGGTTTCGATCTATGATAGTATATGTAGGTACATATAAATGTAGGAATGCGACTTGACCTGAACGTTGTTGGTAATCTGCCCTCTGGTAAAGCTAGCGACACATGGCAATGGCAGCAAAGAAGAGTAGTGACTTCAATTAGGAACCCCACTGTGCAGAGATGTTCGGTAGTGGCAACGGTCGTAGGAGTCATGTACTTGAGACTCTCACTGTCGGTTGTCTCCACAGAATCCACTCAGAAATAGAAGCTTGAGCAAAGATTGGAACCTGATAGAGACGCCCCGAGTTGGAACCCTGGCATACTGAGCAAATGGGATAACATAGATCCCGAATGACGCGAGTTGTTGTCGGACAATGTTCGAGAATCCCAGGTCAGTAACCACCTACAAGAAAATCTTCTATAACACGGTATAAAGCCGAAAGGACTGCATAAAACCCTATTCAATCAAGGCGAGTGAGAGGGATCCTTAATTAGCAGACACCTACGGGGATTTTTCAAGAAGTATACAGCCTCAACATGGCAGGAACAAAGCCGCCTTCCTTTCGCAGAGCTCTACCGTGAGGCGACTGGAGCGAACTCCAAAAGCGCTTGATTAAGGAATGTACCTGAAACATCCTGAGACTATGGAGGCATCCTCAACACACTTTGTAATAATTCATTTTCCACGCGAGGGTCCATGTTCCGGTTTCCTCGTGAGTATCCAATTAGCCATTAATTGGGATAGTCAGGGTCTGCATATGCACTTGGGTTTTACGATAGGTATATCGTAGTCATGAGTCAATTGTACGTTTCTTTGTACCGTCCCGGCTCGGCCGTGTGGTTTGCTGTCGTTGCTGCCGCCGTCAAACTCTGTGCGTGTGCTTGTCATGTCAATGTGAACTAATGCCACTCATGACGATGCTCCGTTTCTACTACTCTACGACTAGTCTTTGACACATTGGTCTTATCATCTGTGTTCAAAGTCATTCTATAGCCTTGAACTGGTCCACCGTCTCTTCAGGTGGGTTTCGAGGAGCACTATGCCTGGGAAGAGAGGCTGCCGACGTGCAGACATTTTTGAGGTATTAGCGGGATGGTTTAACGTTTCAACTTCTGGCATCTAGCATGGGCCTGCTTCGCTGTTTACAGAAATCAGGGTGTAATTGGGGTAAAGACACGCTATGACTGAGCCCTCAGCCTTACAACCCCAAAGCTTGAAGACTCAAACTTTGGTCCTGGTCTGTTGCGATTTAAACGGATGATGGGGGATCATATTTGGATCCCTGCTTGTCTCCATGCACACCGTGACATTTGGTCTAGGTTCGAGGGCCAGCTCGGCCATGCTCGGCTGCCGAAGGCGAAACTCTGAGAGCGGCAAAGAACGCTCGTTGTGTACATAGACTTTTCCCTCCTTCTCGAACCCCAAGAGCCTATGGTACGTGCTAATAAAGACTATGCCTTAAATCCGAATACGAAGCTCTTCATCGTTTACGGGTGTCCTTCATGGACGGCTTCTCGAGACACTTTGGAGTGTTGGGGATGCGACACGTTGCCTGTGGTCGGCGCGCATTGTAGGCTCTATCATCGTGAACGCCAAACTGAATGTCCACCGCCGCTTGCCGGTGAGCGGTCGACCGAAACCCCGTGCACAAGAAGACAAAAAGACAACCAATGGGCTAGTGGGGACAGGAACTAGCTCCCATACGGCTTTTGCTTAAGCTGCAAAAAGTAGCAGGCCACAGGAGCCCAGGAACGGAGCAGGCTCAAGTTCTTGAATCTGATCTTCGTGGCGGAATTGGGCGCAGACAAAAATAACCTAGCAGACTTCCCGGCATAAGTGTGCATAGTAACCAAGACATTTGCTATTACTGGCTTGAGTTCATGCTGCCCCCGGATCCGAATCCCAAAACCTTCAAGACCTCAAAGACCGACGGCTACCCATATGAGACCCCGTCCGGCTTGTCCGAGCTTTGAGAACACACAAACACCTTGAAGCCTTCGAAACCTGGACGGGCGTCTCTTGCAGCCGACGCTAAGCTTTCAGGCGAACCAGCGGCGATGCTTTTCCGGAAATAATATCCAGCGCGAAAAAACTCCCAAGCCCTTAGGAGTTGCTTAGACACTACCTGTAGTCTCCATTGTAGTTCCTTTTTTTGGTTTAGCCAATTATATATTATGGAGTTTATGAGGCATCCCCAAAAAGGAACTACAATGGGGACTATAGGTAGAACCGGCATCGTATCATCCTGCGGCGGTTTTGCCCACAGTCACCGCGGCGTCAGTCGGTCGACCTCGCTATGATACTTAGGTTTAGGGTGCTTAGGGTTTACGTTTAGGGCCTCAAGGGTTGCTATAATCCTGAATCCTGAAGAATGCTCCTGACACCCCAAAGCCGCACACCAGAAACCCTCGTCAAACTCAGCCATGCCAAGCTCACATTTGGGCTGCAGCCATATAACTCAAGCATTAAGACTCTAAACCCTATGAGCCAAATAAGCCTAAAACACCCTAAAACCCAAAAAAGGTCCTGAATCCCAAGTAAGCCTAAAACAGACACCCTAAAACCCATAAAACGCCCTGACAAGGAAGCAGACGGTCCTCCCGCTTACGGATTCGAAGCGCAGCTCGGCTCAGGGCTTCGGAAGCCTCCAGACAACACCGAGACAGCGATGTGGGAGTTTCCGAAAATAAGGGGTACCCTATTTTGGGGTCCTTATAATAAGGATCCTTCTATTTAGGGCCATTTAGGGTACTATATTAGGGTCCCCTATTTTCGGAAACCCCCATGTCTTGCCTTAGAAGCCTCTCGAAGCTAGTATAGGGGCCTGAATTATTAGAATAGGGTTTTGGGGCCCAGTATACTAATCTATACTATAAATTATCGTAAGGAGCCCAAATATAGGATTTATACTATAAATTATCGTAAGGCGCCCCTAAAATAGTATAATTATAATTGGTAATTATCTAGGCCCCTACATACCTAAACCCTAAACCCTAAACCCCATGGGCAGCTTGAAGTGTCACGCCGACTTGTGCACCTATGGATCCTCGC